CTGGTGTAACAATATCTACAACAGCGATGTCTTAGATCAAGCTCAAAGAAACTGCCAAATGTCCTAAAATTCATTTCTAAATCTTTTGGTTTTAAATCGTTGTGTTCTGTTGCCTGATGATATTGAATGTTAAATTGTGCTGGAACCCTTTCAACATTCAAATCCCAGTTCAAAACATTCTTTTTTAAAAAAATAATATCTGTGACTTTTGCCTTTGTGTTTGTATGCGCTTTGAGCATGCTCAGCGCTATATGAATATGAATATTATTTTTATATTACTATTATGTGTGAGACTACGGGATATTTGGATGTAGGTGATATTTGTAGGGACACTTGAACTAATTCAGTACATGGACACTGATTCTTGTTAAAGATAGGCATTGTATCTCACGGCTATATACAACAGAAATCTATCAGTCAATCAATTATTGAAATCATTAAGGCTGACCTACAGTAAACATGCATTATGTAGTTCATGTACACGTTATACATACCATTCAGATGGGTATGTTTCGACCACTTAATTGTCTGGTTTGTTTACAGACCGCCGTCGCATGGCAGGATTATTGCTGTGCGGCGTCAGAAAACAAATACTTACGATCTTATGCAAACTGTGTAAGTGGCGGGTTCTACCGGTAGAGTGGGACATGCTTACCCTTTTCGCGAACACCTGGTGGAATCACTGATTCTCAGTGGTCCATTCATATAATTATCACCGCTATTTTCCCATTTACGCCAATGTAATCTGTTTCGTCGGATAATCGAGATAGGTTTTTTGACGTTAACGTTTCCTATTCTGCATTTCATAGCCTGATGTATGTATGGGGATAAACAGTTCAGTGTATTGCTGCTGACAATCGGCCTATATTCACTTGTACATCTTCGGTAATAAATACAGGTAAATATGTCTTCCATAATTCGTCATTTAATGAAAAAGTATAATTGAAATATTTACATTGGAGAAATAAATATTAAATAAATAAATAAATAAATGAATGAATGAATGAATGAATGAATAAATAAATAAATAAATAAATAAATAAATAAATAAATAAATAAATAAATAAATAAATAAATAAATAAATAAATAAATATATTTGAATTATTGATGTTTAAACAATTGATATAAAGGAGCAGATGGAAGATAACATGTGCACAATTTTGTCTTCATACACATAAAAGTTATTTATTCACACTTTTAACGAATCTTTCAATAATTCAATTTTCCGAGAAACGAAACCCAATCACGTGTTCCCTGGTCATCAAATACAATATTATTTCGTAACACTTTCTGGAAAACTATGAAATGACTATTCCCGTAACTCACACACAGATACAATCCGACGGACGTTTATCACGAAGCCTATGAGAAGAGGTGAACTAGCAAATATGAAAATAGTATGTACACACAAGTCGTTACCATGAGTTAACAACGCGCTTGCTTCACACACACTGTACATACTCTCACTGCCATAAAAGCATCGTCAGATATGCGTAGACTCAAGTTAATACACTTTTGAATTCCGTTTCCCTGAGCATTAAGTAATCACTAGTAGAATATCTACCTTCCTTTGTAATATAAATTTTCATAATTGGCTTGAAGCCGACTTCCTCGACTAAATCGACGGACTATGTGGCAACTCATGCATATTGCTGTTTGATATTAACCCTGGCTGCCACAGTATATGCTATTCACCATGGCACCAGTAATGGAGCTTCATAGACGGATCAATGGACGGAACGGCGATGACGTTGTGTGGTCGGTAGAACGCATGATCATAATCACTGTTAATTTCAAACGTAGTATTTTTTCCCCTCTCGATTGCCCAATTTGCTCCAATAGGCTCGAGTCATTATAAAACCGTATAGCGAAGCAATGAACCCGCTGTATTGATCATTAAGTCCAAGTCGTTTTGGTCAATATCATAAAGAATATCATATACCCGTTAATGCATATTTCACAAACGTAAAAGTGTACATTTCTGCCTGTGTATAGAATTACGTGGAGACACGCCAAACGGGTACACTGAACGGGTAATTAGCCATCAGGGGCCTCGAGCTATCCACAGTAAAAACCTTTAGGAAATCGATGTGAGCTCTAGTATTGCTTATTCTTTATTTATACAACAAAATGTCGTGTTTCCGCTAAGTAAGCTGCATCCCCTAGTGTTGGTCGGAAGCCCCTTTTGTTTGGGGCATCATTTCGTGTTATTTGTATATAAAGGTATTCTGGTAGTGCATTGTGAAGTACTATAGTGATACATGACGATATTATGTTGAACATAATTTATAAGTCATTATGTCTTTGGGTGAATCTCTATGGGTTTTTATGAGGGTGTCAGTGAGGTGAGGTGAGGTGAGGTGAGGTGAGGTGAGGTTAAATTGGGTTTAACGTCGCGTCCAAGATTATTGCACTTATATAGCGACGTGCATGCACATGTGTGTGTTTGTGTGGCTGCTTGTACTTGTCCGGACTGATGCCGATGTATAGTGCTAGCTCACTGAGATACCATGCCGCAGTTTAACATGAATACCCCACTCAGACACAGTATATTGACTCCGAGCCGACCAGTCCTTGTTTTAGCCCCTTAATGCCGAGCGCCAGACAGGGTAACAACAAGTACCATCTTTTAACGTCTTTTGGTATGACGCGGCCGGGGATCGAGCCCCGGACCTTCCGCTCTACCACTAGACCACGGAGGCGGTCGAGGGTGTCAGTAGTGTATCATACGTATGTGTACGGGTATCTGTATCCAGGTGCTGTAAGGAATCCACAACACTGATTATGTTCCTCCAAATAATGGAACCCAATCTATAGTTGGTTAGTAACAACTAATTAGTATGATTGTTAACACAGCTCTTACTAGGATGTTTAAGGTGTCCCCATAGTGTTCCAACTGCAAGTTTTCCCAGTGTTTTCCGAGGTTGTTGTCAGAATGCTCCCACACTGTTAAATATGCAAATAATTATATCATAATGGTGATAGCATGGTATTTAGAAATATTTAATGGTCAGAAATATAACGAGGTATTTCAATAATGCAATGCGTGTGTGTGTGCGCGTGCGTGCAGCGTGCGTGCGTGCGTGCGTGCGTGCGTGCGTAGTGGTTGCTTGTACTAATCCGTACTTATGCTGGTTTTATAGCACTAGCTCACTGAGATACAAGGTTTAACATGAATTTTAAAAATTGACTTTCACTGCATAAACGTATGAACCTTCATACATGGTCAACTATTACGGTGTCGGAGCATTGTCAAGGTGGGTCCAGGATACTCAAAGCGGGCTAGGCATGTAACGAGGGCGTTCCAGGGAAATCGCCGAGGATTACCAAAGGGTTCCAAAAGTGCTTCAACCCAAAGAGTTCCCAGAATCTCACCCCAGTGTTCCCAGAGCATTCCCAAGCGTTTCCGAGCGTTACCTCAAACTTGGTGTTGTTTGGGTGTTCCCAGAGCGTTTCCGAGCGTTAACACACTCTTGGTGGTCATGGGATGTTCCCAGAGCGTTCCCAATGATTGCCACACTCTCGGTGTTTCTGGGGTGTTCCAAGAGCGTTCCCGAGCCTTACTAACATCTTGGTGTTTCTGGGGTGTTCCCAGAGCGTTCCCGAGGATTGCCACACTCTCGGTGTTTCTGGGGTGTTCCCAGAGCGTTCCCAAGCCTTACTAACATCTTGGTGTCTCTGGGGTGTTCCCCGAGCGTTCCCAAGCCTTACTAACATCTTGGTGTTTCTGGGGTGTTCCCAGAGCGTTCCCAAGCTTTACTAACATCTTGGTGTTTCTGGGGTGTTCCCAGAGCGTTACCGGGTGTTGCCACACTTTTGGTGTTTCTGGGGTGTTCCCAGAGCGTTCCCAAGCCTTACTAACATACTGGTGTTTCTGGCGTGTTCCCAGAGCGTTCCCGAGTGTTGCCACACTCTTGGTGTTTCTGGGGTGTTCCCAGAGCGTTCCCAAGCCTTACTAACATCTTGGTGGTCATGGGGTGTTCCCAGAGCGTTCCCGAGTGTTGCCACACTCTCGGTGTTTCTGGCGTGTTTCCAGAGCGTTCCCAAGCCTTACTAACATCTTGGTGTTTCTGGGGTGTTCCAAGAGCGTTCCCTATCGTAACCACACTCTCGGTGTTTCTTGGGTGTTCCAACAGTGTTGCCAGGTTGTTTGGTTGGTTGGTTTGTTGTTTAACGCCGCACTCAGCAATATTCCGGCTGTCTGTAAATAATCGAGTCTGGACCAGATAATCCAGTGATTAATATCATGAGCATCGGGATCAATGACATGCATCAACCAAGTCAGCGAGCCTGACCACCCGATCCCGTTAGTCGCCTTTTACGACAAGCATAGTCACCTTTTACGGCAAGCATTGGTTGCTGAAGACCTTTTCTACCCCGGAATCTTCACGGGTCCAGTGTTGCCAGGGGTTTCCTGAGCGCTCCCAGAGTGTCCCCAGAGTGTCCTTTAAGTGCTCCATTATGCACACAAAGAGACTGGTGCCACCACAACGGGAAGGCTTCGTGCCACCACTACGGGAAGGCTTCCCGCCATGTTTGAGGCCCAGTCAAAGGTATTCGCGCTTAATGTTTTCAATCCCGGCAAAGAGAGAGTCGCCTGGATTATTGCCCTGGCATCTCGTCTGCGGACCTACGTGTGTTTCATCAGCCGCCATTCATTAGTGTTGGAGGTGGACTTGTGATAAAGGTGTTCCTAACCCCAACGTCGACCTCATGCAGTCTATGCCGATGTCCTTCCCATCTCACAGCTGTCACCAACTTGCAGTATGTCAGCTTGAAAACACTGCCGTTGATTGAGGAAGCCCGTGATTAGAAAAAACCCTCATCACCTTGGTTACGTAAGATTTTCCCTGCCATTTTCAAGCATTTGTGCCTGGGCTGAATGCCGCCCAAAGATGTCGTCTGTCCACTCCGGAGGCACTTCCGGGTAACTAGTGTAGCATTGATATAAACTACCGTCCTTCTGTCCTCGATCGCTCTCCCTTACTTCCGATACATTCCGCTTTGTGTCGAGAAACCCGGTGACAACGTGTTGACGTCGCACTGCTGTTTTGTTGTTTCTGGAGAGTATTTACTGTGGGGAGTGATCCTTGTCCCCAGCCCCCTGCCCCTCCAACCGCCCCTCCCCCGCCCCTTCTGTCAATATTAGTCAGCTTTAGTCAAGTCCGTGGCGGCCAGCCGCACTAGAGATCACGTGCATACTGGGTATGTTGATCGATGCCGACAGCAGAAGGTGAGGCGGTAGTGGTACCGGTGTGTTGCAGCGGAGGGATACTGATGGTGATGCCAGCTTCACTATGGACGGTAGCATCGCAGGCCTTTACTCGGATCACCGCTACTCCAGGAAAAAACAACAGCGGATTACCAGTTCTATAATGTGTGACGTTGGGTGTACTTTTCGCATCGTTAGAACAATGCACAGGTATTTATACTCATTCCATGACATGTTTGTTTTTTTCAAAATATATGATTTATTTTTTTTAAATATCTGATTTGTTTTATTACAAGAATTGAAAAAATGATTATGTAAACTAACTGCAACTTGAACATCATATCTATGCATCCCAGCGTTGCATACAATACTGGCAGTCGAACAGCTCCAGTGGCGTGAAGTGATTATATCTTCTGCAGTGCACTGTTTATAACAACATTCCGTACATTCTTCTAGCATTCATGATTTAACTAATACTACCGACAGAAAATTAAACTTTAAATTAACCCGAGAGCGTATTGATCAGTTGAAATGAAACGCTTTGTTGTCTGAACCTCAGTGTCGATTTTACGCGCAGGAAAACCTACATACACTGTCTATGTAACTAATTACTATGAGTATATAGTATCAAATTTCCATCAGCCTTAATTATTCTATACACGCTACATAGCCTGGTCGATGTCCTCTCCCCCGGCTCTGAGCTACCTGCCCATCATCAACCACAGCAAACCACTACAAAAACCTTTCAAATTAAATAATAATCAATACCATCAAAGCGATTAAGTTGATGCCAATTAGGTGTCTTTTATTTGAAATTTGCAGCTTTAAACATATGTAACATAACATCCATCATTAAGTATGTCCGATGTTGTATTTAAGTCTCATTAAGCCATGTGGAGCTGAAAATTCATCGATTAATTCTTTCAGGAAGCAAAGTCTAACATGGGAGTCCATGTATCATAGCCTTTTTATGTAAACACAAGTGTACATGAAAGTGATGAGTTTCGACACGACTTTTTACACAAAAACAAATAAGTTCATTCCGTTCATAGTCCGTACTGCTGAACCAAATACAGTGACCACTTAGTGTGTCTTCCGTCAGAATACATCAATGATATTAAACCTGTTTTAGGTGATGGTATAGGGTCGTTGAGTAACCATTTATGGTTAATACAATTATGAGCTGAAGGAAGGATGGACTATTAAGCTTAACGGAATTAGAAACAAAACTTGAATGTGTATAGTGATGTCATATATATAGACACGTATTGTGTACTATAGCCCAAGCATAAGCTAAACGGATTTAGAACAAAACTTGTGTTCGTCCACAAAAGTGAAATGTTTACTTAAAGTGTATAGTGATGTCATATATATAGACACGTATTGTGTTCTATAGCCCCAGCACAAGCTAAACGGATTTAGAACAAAACTTGTGTTCGTCCACAAAAGTGAAATGTTTACTTAAAGTGTATAGTGATGTCATATATTATAGACACGTATTGTGTACTATAGCCCAAGCATAAGCTAAACGGATTTAGAACAAAACTTGCATTTGCCTACAACAGTGAAATGTTTACTTTAAGTGTATAGTGATGTCATATATTATAGACACGTATTGTGTACTATAGCCCAAGCATAAGCTAAACGGATTTAGAACAAAACTTGTGTTCGTCCACAACAGTGAAATGTTTACTTAAAGTGTATAGTGATGTCATATATATAGAAACGTATTGTGTACTTACTATAGCCCCAGCACAAGTTAAACGGATTTAGAACAAAATTTGTGGTCGCCTACAACAGTGAAATGTTTACTTTAAGTGTATAGCGATGTCATAAATATAGAAACGTATTGTGTACTTACTATAGCCCCAGCACAAGCTAAACGGATTTAGAACAAAACTTGTGTTCGTCCACAACAGTGAAATGTTTACTTAAAGTGTATAGTGATGTCATATATATAGAAACGTATTGTGTACTTACTATAGCCCCAGCACAAGCTAAACGGATTTAGAACAAAACTTGTGTTCGTCCACAACAGTGAAATGTTTACTTAAAGTGTATAGTGATGTCATATATATAGAAACGTATTGTGTACTTACTATAGCCCCAGCACAAGCTAAACGGATTTAGAACAAAACTTGTGTTCGTCCACAACAGTGAAATGTTTACTTAAAGTGTATAGTGATGTCATATATATAGAAACGTATTGTGTACTTACTATAGCCCCAGCACAAGTTAAACGGATTTAGAACAAAATTTGTGGTCGCCTACAACAGTGAAATGTTTACTTTAAGTGTATAGCGATGTCATAAATATAGAAACGTATTGTGTACTTCCTATAGCCCCAGCACAAGCTAAACGGATTTAGAACAAAACTTGTGTTCGTCCACAACAGTGAAATGTTTACTTAAAGTGTATAGTGATGTCATATATATAGAAACGTATTGTGTACTTACTATAGCCCCAGCACAAGCTAAACGGATTTAGAACAAAACTTGTGTTCGTCCACAACAGTGAAATGTTTACTTAAAGTGTATAGTGATGTCATATATATAGAAACGTATTGTGTACTTACTATAGCCCCAGCACAAGTTAAACGGATTTAGAACAAAATTTGTGGTCGCCTACAACAGTGAAATGTTTACTTTAAGTGTATAGCGATGTCATAAATATAGAAACGTATTGTGTACTTACTATAGCCCCAGCACAAGCTAAACGGATTTAGAACAAAACTTGTGTTCGTCCACAACAGTGAAATGTTTACTTAAAGTGTATAGTGATGTCATATATATAGAAACGTATTGTGTACTTACTATAGCCCCAGCACAAGCTAAACGGATTTAGAACAAAACTTGTGTTCGTCCACAACAGTGAAATGTTTACTTAAAGTGTATAGTGATGTCATATATATAGAAACGTATTGTGTACTTACTATAGCCCCAGCACAAGCTAAACGGATTTAGAACAAAACTTGTGTTCGTCCACAACAGTGAAATGTTTACTTAAAGTGTATAGTGATGTCATATATATAGAAACGTATTGTGTACTTACTATAGCCCCAGCACAAGTTAAACGGATTTAGAACAAAATTTGTGGTCGCCTACAACAGTGAAATGTTTACTTTAAGTGTATAGCGATGTCATAAATATAGAAACGTATTGTGTACTTACTATAGCCCCAGCACAAGCTAAACGGATTTAGAACAAAACTTGTGTTCGTCCACAACAGTGAAATGTTTACTTAAAGTGTATAGTGATGTCATATATATAGAAACGTATTGTGTACTTACTATAGCCCCAGCACAAGCTAAACGGATTTAGAACAAAACTTGTGTTCGTCCACAACAGTGAAATGTTTACTTAAAGTGTATAGTGATGTCATATATATAGAAACGTATTGTGTACTTACTATAGCCCCAGCACAAGCTAAACGGATTTAGAACAAAACTTGTGGTCGCCTACAACAGTGAAATGTTTACTTTAAGTGTATAGCGATGTCATAAATATAGAAACGTATTGTGTACTTACTATAGCCCCTGCACAAGCTAAACGGATTTAGAACAAAACTTGTGTTCGTCCACAACAGTGAAATGTTTACTTAAAGTGTATAGTGATGTCATATATATAGAAACGTATTGTGTACTTACTATAGCCCCAGCACAAGCTAAACGGATTTAGAACAAAACTTGTGGTCGCCTACAACAGTGAAATGTTTACTTTAAGTGTATAGCGATGTCATAAATATAGAAACGTATTGTGTACTTACTATAGCCCCAGCACAAGCTAAACGGATTTAGATCAAAACTTGTGTTCGTCCACAACAGTGAAATGTTTACTTAAAGTGTATAGCGATGTCATAAATATAGAAACGTATTGTGTACTTACTATAGCCCCAGCACAAGCTAAACGGATTTAGAACAAAACTTGTGTTCGTCCACAACAGTGAAATGTTTACTTAATGTGTAAAGTAAGGTCATATATATAGACACGTATTGTGTACTATAGCCCTAGCACAAGCTGAACGAAAACAAAACATGCGTTCGTCCACAACAGTGGAATGTTTACTTCATATGTATAGTGATGTAATATATATAGACACGTATTGTGTACTATAGCCCCAGCACTAGCTAAACGAAAACAAAATTTGTGTTCGTCCACAACAGTGAAATGTTTACTTCATCTGTATAGTGATGTCATATGTATGGAAACGTATTGTGTACTATAGCCCTCGCACAACAAAAGACATAGAGGAAGCTTCTTGTAGCCTTATGTCTCAACAGGGACGTAGAGGATTAAGGCAATGTGTACTATGAGACGTTAGACTGTGTGTTTGTACGTGGCACACCTGTGGTATGCAGTTTACCTCGCTTTCAGCAATATCCAAACCATATCGCAACCATGATACTGTGTCCCCATGTGGGAATCGAACCAGGTATTCAGCGTGTTTGAGCGAACGCCTTCACAACTTGACTACCCTAGAAAGAGGGGTGGGTATAACGTTAAAGGATGTGTGAGACTACACAATCATGTATCCTCGTCTTGCTCAGGCGAATATATATATTCTGGGTATTAGTACCAATTAGGGTATCCTTGAAAATCACATTCGGGAAACCGGTTGAGTAAATTATACAGCTCATCTTTGGACTTTTGTAGCACGTATATAGCTAGGGCTATATATATATTTGACACATTTATAAATGATATTTTATTGATACTTTCAAATCAAAAGTAAATAGCCTCAAATTATGGAATTATTTTAAACAATTATATGTGTCGTACGCCTGCCCTACACAATGTCATGCGTCTTACTGTGACGACACAATGTAAGATTGCACTATGGCGTCATACTATGTTAGAGTGCGTTGTTATTTTTGCTTTTGTTTATCGTTGTAAATAACAGCGTTGTAATAACATTTTGAGTGAACAATCAGTGGCCGGGAAGTAATGTTGACATGTTGGTGTTCACCTGCGGCTGTTGGCATATCACCGTTTCTCAGGGTCCGCCTGACATTCACCATCGTCTTTGAAGTGACATATGTTAATATGGGCATGGACAACATGAAAGTAGGGAATACTCTTTAGACTTCACAGGCAATTCAAAGGTCATGGTCGCTGAGTGATGCGGTTTGCGCAGTGATACAGAACACGGTGTTCATCTCTCCAGATCTGTCATTACCTGTGTAATACTCCGCGACAAATACCAGAGGGGAC